CATAACTGAAACTGCTCAAGAGTTCTATCTGAACTCCTTAAACATGTTAAGAGTAAAAAGATGGAAAGGTCAGAGACCTCAAAGGATCGTGATCCTTCCTGGAGCAGAGAGTGCCTCGCATGCCATGACCTTGTGAAGGATCCAGGTATCTACTCTATTCTTGCTGGTGATTTCCTAGAGCTTGATCAGAAGGGTCCATCCGTGTAACAGTGTCTGTCACGCGCATTCAATTGGCGATGAGCTCCCGCAGCAACTCTATCAACTGTCATTTTGCATTGCATATAACCTTTATAAGGATGGCATTCTTAAGGTAAAAAAATATCCATTCTCTAATCTATTATCATATAAACAATAATACAGATTCTTGTAAAATAATCGATAGATGAATTGCACATCTCATGTAAATTGTGTTAAGCCATTAGTCTAGGAAATCATGGCTGGTCCCCAATCGCTTTCACTATACTCACCTGGAAGGATTTTAAAATCATGAAATGTAATGAAGGGCACTCTATTTCTTTCAGGAATTTGCAGAGACATCTCTTGTACATGCCTGTTGAATGCCCTTACAGCTAGCGATCCTTTCATCTGAATAAAGGCTCAAATCTAAAAATTGCAGATGAGTATGCCTACTGAAGAACACACCGGACACTCTAATAAATTACCACAAAGGACTGAGGAACGAAGCAACATCAGTAAGAGGAAGCACATGAATGAGAGCTCTGTATTCAGTATTTTTTGCAAAAAACAGCATCAGAGTAGTGCTCAAGTGGGGGGAGATTGGGGGGCAATGTGGACTAGCACCTGAGGGGAACGACGAAGGATGGCTGGAGATCCAAGACGACGACGACGACGACGACGGGAGAGACGGTACTTGCGGCGTCGCACGGACAGGGCAGCAACGAAGTGCTCGTAGGCTCAGGACGTCGTGGTATCTAGGCCCTCGGGCCTTCCGATTTCATGGCCGAGGTCCCTGCCCCTAGCGATGCGACCGTCGTACCGGCGCCCATGGCGATGGCGTAGGAAGCCTTGGCTGTGGGCAGCAACTGGGGCAGGCGTTGACGGCGGGATGGCGGATGGGCGCCGCAGGTGCAGGATGGCCCGACCGCCCGTGGCGGAGGGGACGAGTCATCCGTTCGAGAGCGTTCGCGACCTTCCGGGTTCACAGCTTTAACGGGTGGAAGACCCGCTATGACCCCGATCGGACGGTCCATATCGCGTCTTGGCCAGATCCGACGGCTAGCAGGTTAGCGGGCGACGTGGCCATATCCACCGCCCAAACCTTGGCTCAGATTTAGAGATAGAGACGAGACAACTGGGCAGAGGTACGTCTTTTTGTTCTGGGAGATTCTTCAACGCGGCATGCTGTTGCCATGTGATACGATTCGGCGCGGCGCGAGGAGATTCTTCAGCGTGGTTCGAGTCTGGACACATGTTTGTTGGTACAGCACGTAGGAGTATTATCAAGGGGGAAGGAACGAGGGCATGCATCTCTCTCTTGTTTGCCATGTGATTTGAATGAAGAAGAAGAAAAAAGAAACGTGTGCGTCTTCTTTTTTTTTTTTGCGGTGGCCCAAACTCCAAACCAAACATGATTGGCAGCAACCGAACGGCCTGCACGGCAACGACGCAAGGCCCACAGCGCCAAAGGAGCGTGTGGCCTCCCTTAACGACGCTCTTAAGGCCCATCAAGGTAGCAGATACGGTTCGTGGGTCAGCCCAACAGCCCCCCTAGCCCAGCTCGCGCGGCCTCTTCCGTCCTGCACCGAGACGACTCATCAGGTCGTAAATAAATTCTTCCCGGGCGTTTCATTCAGATTGTCGCAAGTTGCAACACCACACGGATCGACAGCCGAGCTGAGATGGCCGGCCGATCCGTGCTTCAGAAGGACTATCGCAAGTTGCAACACCACACCGATCGACAGCCGAGATGGCCGGCCGATCGCCTCCGGCGTGCCAGGTCGAGAGCTCTCGCGGCACACGGCGGTGCTCCTGCTGGCGCCTCTGCTCCGGTACGTACTGCCACGGCTGCTTTTGGAGATAGATAGATGGGATCATCGGAATTTGCCAATTTGGCTTGAGTTTGAAGGATATACAAAAGTTTTCGTCCCTTCAGGAACGTGGCATTAGAACCCTACATCTTTTCCACGGAGTCGCAGCTCGTCCCAAAATCCAAGGATACCTAAGTCCTGCGGCGCATACTACCCAAGACTTTCCCTAATAATCGTGGGATTCATGGTCCTGTAAGTAGCTACGTTTTCTTTTCGGGAGAATTATCTATTTGGCACTGAAATAAACCGGTGTTTCAGTATTTCGCATTCAAAATTTGAACTTTCTTATCCGCATAAGTTGAAATTTTCTTTCGTAAATGGCACCGCCGTCCATTTTCATTGATCATCTGTTAGTTGATTGGTTTGACCGTGTCGTTTTTTTTCCTATGTCCGATGTACCCTCCGTTAGAAACTGAAATTTGGCCGAGCTCTCGAAATCCCAGATCTGTGCCCTTCTTCTTTCCCTGTTGTGCCATCGCATGCGAGGCTGCCACAGCTCCATGGCGGAGCGCGAGCAAAGCCACCCAGCGGAGGCCGCCGCCTCTGCTCAACGAGCAGCGTACCGTCTTTGGACATAGCCGCCGCTGCGCCAGCTCCGGTTCCGGCAAGGCCGTCCCGGCCCTACGCTGTGAGATCGGCGGCGGCTCGGCGGCTTGCTTCTTGCGCTTGCAAAAGATGGCGTGGGCGCTTGGCCATGGCGCGTACCGCTTTCTCGTCTCGGTGGCGGCAAGAAGAAGACGAAGCGGAGGACGCGACGAGCCACGAGGAACTTGAGCTGCTCCGACAGGGAGCACCAATGGGCCTGTGGTGGTGATGTTCGTCTTGAGCGCGTCCCGGCGCGACAGCCATGAGCTCGCAGCATGCAATGACACGCCGATGCGGCTGTGCGCCCTCGGCGGGTACATGCAACCGTAGCTTTTCGTCATGGCGCTTTGTGGGTGCGCACCGTGTGCGTGCACCGGCGCCGGTACTGCGCAGCGCCCGGCGTCTGGCGGTTTGATTAAGCCAGCAGCCAGCGGCGCCGCTTCATACGGAAGATGCAGATTGGACAGCAGCATGGAGCGGTCGTTGCCAAGTACCGATTGAGCATGATGTTCTCGGTGCTCACCACGACGGCGTAGCACCCGGGTTCGCCTGCAGCATGTCCCTGGCGAGGTCCACAGCGATGAGCCCCGCGCTGCACCCCATGCCGCCAAGGTTGAACGACTTGACGTCCTCCCACATCTTGTAGCGGTGCACCACCATGGACGCCAGCGATGGCGTAGGGTTGAAGAGGCTGCAGTTGACGATGAGCACGCGTGGGGCTTACACGTCAGTGACTAGGATGAGGGAAGTAGTTGAGGGCAATATCGTCCATACGAAAATACTTGAACTTCCCTATTTGGCACCATGAGTTTCTGCTGCAAACAAGGGTATTCATGTCTTTTGCCGACCACTTGACAATTCTTCGCCCTAAATGGACGGCAGTGCCATTTACGAAAGAAAATTTCAACTTGACGCCAGATAAGAAAGTTCAAATTTTCGAGTGCCAAATACGAAACACTGGTTTGTTTCAGTGTCAAATAGATAATTCTCCCTTTCTTTTTTCCTTTATCTATGCATACTTTAAGACGTCAACAGCATATTGGTCCTAATATTTTAGGACATCAACAGCACATTGATAGTTACTTTCGGACGTCAACAACACATTGGTTGTAATTTTTTAAGGACATCAACAGCACATTGATTGTAATTTTTTAAGGACATCAACAGCACATTGATGGTACTCCCCCCGTTCCAAATTATAAGTCGTTTTGACTTTTTTGGTACATTCATTTTGCTATGCATCTAGGTATAAGATATATCTAGATACATAGCAAGTTGTATGTACCAAAAAAGTTAAAGCGACTTATAATTTAGGATGGTGGGAGTAATTTTTTTAGACGTCAACAGCACATTGGTTGTAATTTTTTAGGACGTCAACAACACATTAGTCGTATCATAGAAAATATTAGCAATATTTGTTTCTCCAAATAAGTTTATTATAAAAAATATATTCAACAATCGGTGAAAGAAATACTTATTGCAATTGCGCTCTCTAGCCTGTGTATAACACAGGCTACAAAGAACTTTGATTGCTCTCATGTCACTCCTAAAACCAGCTGCTAAAACTAATTGCACAAAAGCTGGTGGACATGAAGAACAACCAGGTTACTATAATGGTTAATGGCGATGAAATTCGTCTGGATCAGTTAGGGAATGTTGGTGACAAAACTTCTCCTTGTTTTTCAACATATGTACAACACTTTGTTGCTTGTGTTATCTTCTAATGCAAATGTAATATGTTTTGCACGTGTCTGGTATCGCTTAAGGGACTTCAACGCAGAGTTACCCCCACAGGAGCAGCTACCGTACACCCATGTGGTGGTGCTTACTCGCATATCATCAAGATATGCAGACCTGGGGCTATCCCAGACTTGGCCATCCCGTATTCAGCAACTGTTACGAGATCTTATCTGCGACTGCTATGCTTTACACAACATAATTTGGGCTCTATATCCTGAAATCTGGCCCCTTGCCAGTTCCACCGGTTGGTATATCAAAGGCATTACGCTTCCGCATCCATGAACGGTGGATGAAAGGGGTCCTGACTCCTGAAGGGTGTCATCAATGTCCGAATCCCTAACACCATATTGATGTACTTCACAGAATGGGGTGACCTATCGACCTCAATGTATAAGAAGGTGCTCCCACAGGAATGTATTCTTCATCTGTGAATGTTTACTTAAGAATGTTCATCCTAAATCGCCGAGACATGGCAGAAGGTAATCAAAAGGTTGTGAAGCATTTTGTTTTTCTTTGCAACAAGTCTTACTTTCCTTTTCTGTGTCCTCTTTTTGTGCATAGGATACAATACATCTCTCTGTTTATGTGATTAGCAAATTTTTTCAGCTCCGAAATCTGGGCGTGGAGATGAAGACCCATCGGCTGTTGTATTTGGCTGGCACAAAGAAGATAACAAACACCTCCTATGTGCTTCAATATCCGTTCATAAAATGGAGGATACAATCAGGTTTGTTGCTATACCTTCAGCACTATTTGCAACATTTAAATATGTATTTTTTGTGTGTGTGATAATTCTTTTATGTTTCTTATTGTTGCTACCTGAATTATTGCTTTGGCATGAAGCTACTGAGACAAGAAGATGCTTCTGAAGGACAACATGACACTGTCATGGTCATGGTTTTTGAACTAGAGACAAAGAGTTTTGTGCTGCACATGATCCATAGTGCCTTCATGAATACTCACGAATTTTATTTAGACTATCTTCAACAATGGGAACCCAAATACAAGACCCATTTCACGTTTGGGTAACGCTACAGGCAAATGTTTCAATACCCATTTTTTATCTTCTTCAACAACAAGACTCAAAAGAGAACCCTTTCTGCAAATGGGTCTCCAGGAGAGAGGATATTCATATTTAGGTCGTGCCTCTCCTGGCACCCAAAATGGGTCTCCTATATAGGTACTCTGTTGGAGGCCGATATAGTACTGTTGGAGACCCATTTTGCGTTTGAGTGCTCTTATGGGTCTCCTATTGGAGACAGTCTTATGAGCCGTTGTTTTGCTTTATAATATGCTGACGCATCTGTTGTCATTTTGTAGGCGAAGCTGACAAATACGACCCAAAAATTGCATTTGACGATTTCTCTATTGCACATGAAAACGTGTGTATTCGACATACCAAGTTTTCAGTAGTCCACTTTTTTTAGCACTCTAACGCCAGTTTTTTAGCACACTAACACTTACATGATGCGATGCAAATCAGGTGCATGACCTTGTTGAAAAAATCAAATCTAATGGTGGAGTTGTCTTACGGGATTTCTGTCCTGACAAGAAAGAAGCAGCCATTAGTAGATCCATGTGACAACTCCCAAACATATTTGCGAGCTGAGTCTACAAGTAGGGAATATAGACAATGCTATCATCTTCTATGAAACACATTATTTGTTCTTATACAGGTTTTAGGGATGCATCTTTTGACAAGGAATGATAGGCTTTAAGATAAGGTAAGAAAAAACTACACAACCTGGTCCAAGTAGATGATTTAGCTATTTGTTAAATTAAACCTCCCAAATCCTATATAGACAGAAGGGTAAAGTTGGGCTGAAGGTTTGCGGTATACCTATTTATAGCTTGAAGATTGTCATCAAGTTTCAATGCAATTAGCCTACCCTAACTTGCTTGATAAAAAGACTTTGTTTTTTTGTTGTATGGTTGTACAACATTGTTTTGATAGGATGGGATATAAGGATGCAGATCATACCACAATTTTGGACCACAGTTTTGGAACCATGGTGCCAAAAGGCCGAACAACAGGAAAGGATATATAAAGGTTTTTGTTAAAAATTTATACACCCTGTCTATGTAAGTGCAGGCTATGCGGATGAAGTAATGGTCACCTTGCTTTTCTCTAAATACAGGTAACCTTTGGCACAAATAGCGTATGGAGGACTCAGCAGCGATCAAGTTTGCGATTAAAGATCATGGGGGCACAATTTTGGAGGAACTAGGTAAATACCTGTTGTTAGGGTTCCAATCATGACATTTATGGATCCGGGCGGTTGAAATGTGGTGAGTGATGTATATGCTGTTCTGTTAGGAGTTACATGAACTATTCCATTATAGGTTATTTGTGTTAGAATGAGAGGAGAGGAGAAAGATGGCTGTAATGGATCTATTGAGCAGCCCCAAATGGGGTATATATAGTACATGAGAGCCTAAACCGTAGACTAGAGTACAATGACAATAATACCCTTAACACTCCCTCAACTTCAAGGCGTATGCAATTGTGTTGCATTTGGAAGAGAGAACACTAAGCACTAGACTTAGACACATTACAACACTAAGATAACTGAAACATCCAAACCGAGTCTCCAATATGTCATGAGTGCATGTGAGTCTTGAAAACCTTGCCAAGCCGAGGAGGTGCGAAGAGAAGCACAAAGGTAGAGAGTCATGACGATGGACGCAGGGCGAAGCCACGTTGAAGTTTACTGGTGCACAAGCACCAAGGTATTTTTTTTTTTGCCATTCAACATCTTATTTTCACCATATGTTTCAATAAAGTTGTGTAAGTTACTTAAGCAGTGCACCAGGGTTCATTTGCCCTGTAGCTTCGCCACTGGATGGACGCGCTTTAGTCAAAGAGCCGCGGGCTCATGGAGGAGGTGACAAGGAGTAGCAAGGTTCAAGCGGACGAGCCATCGCCACACAAATCCGGACAGGGTCAGAGCCACACGCATCCGGACGTGTCTAGGCTACACAAATCCGCTAAACCAAAACTACGGTGGCAATCAGAGGCGAGGACCAAAAGGGAGGGTCGCATCAATGACGACTAGAAGATGATTAGCCAAAAGAGGTGGCAACCACAAAGGAAAATACAGAATCAATTGTTTGGCAAAGATTTTGTGGACTCGAATGGCAAAGACGCGTTCAAGGAGCAAGATTAGCGAAGTTAGATGGACACAGTAGGGAAACAAAGACTGGATACTGGCAGCAAGCAGCATAAACACGGGATCCCATCAACACAAACACCAGCGCACGTGGGGGCCTATCCCTGTGAGCTCCTCTCCTGCTGCCGGACGAGGCGATGAGCGCCCTGGATGCGGAATCTGAGTGCGTGCTGCAGGGGTGCTGGAGTGGCCGATGAAGGGGCGACGCAGCGACAACCAGCAGGAAGAAGCCACGACAGCGATGAGTCGGTGAAGACGCGCATGGAAGAAACCGGCAGGGACGAACCGGCGGTGGGAGACGGTGCAGGCGAAGCAGAGGGAGTGGGATCCAAGAATGGCGACGATGGCTGCGGAGTACGGACGACAGGAAGAGCATGGCGGGTGGAGGAACGCTCGCACTTCATGGATGCCGGCGTGGCGGCACGGATGGAGGCGCGCAGGCTCAGAAGCAGAGCCATGGGGCCGCTCAGTCATGGGAGGAGGGCCGCGTGCGAGTGGTGGCCGCTCCTACCGCGAGCGCTGACCCGGCGAGCAGGGGGCGGCGCGCAGGAGCGGGCAACGCGCAGGACGCTCGGGAAGGGCAGGCTGCGCCCAGAAGTAGAGCCGCGCCTCCAGGCCTACGAGAAGCCATTGGCGCCTGAAGAGGAGCAATGGGAGGAGTGACTGGTGACGTGGTGGCTGGGAGCGCCAGGAGGAAGCCGGCGCAAGGAGGAAACCCGGCGGTTCGGTGGCACAAATTTGGCGCTGGCCTGATCATCCAGGCCTGGCGGCCCGATCTACACCCGGGGATGACGGATCGACGTCGTCGACACCTCGATCTGAACTCAGGGAGGAACTGCTGCTGCTTAAACTGGTAAGAAAACTAATAGGGTGGGTACCCCTGGGAGTGGAGTTCGCTCCTCCTAGGGGCAGCGCAGCGGAAGACAGCGTTGGAGCAATGGTAAAGATTGGTGCGACGGTGAAGGTCAAACCTTCGCCTGTGATAATGAGAGGAGAGGAGAAAGATGGCTATAATGGTCTAAACCCTAGACTAGAGTACAATGACAATAATACCCTTAACAATTTGCCCCACAAGTGACGTGTTATCTTTGTATTGTAGGTCATCCACTGCTACACAAAATCTTTTATGCGGCATTTGCCTTTTAAGCTCCGAGGCCGGCGGGCTGGGTGGCCGCCTCCGTTAATTGGTGGCAGGGCCACCGGCCAAGCGCCCGTCTCGGTTAATCATTAACTGACGCGGGCCACATAACGCGCACGTCTCGGTTAAAATGATTAACCAAGGCGGCCGCCTCGCCTCAGTTAATCGACTATTTTTGAAGGGTCCGCCTCCGTAAATCGATTTACGGAGGTGGGCGTATTAAGATGTCCACCTCGATTAATAATTGCAACAATAAATAGTTCATAACTTTTTCATATGAACTTAGATGAAGACAAACCTTATATCAAAATTATAGCTTTCGACAAGATCTACAAATTTGTAGTTGAAAAGGTTTTGCATTGAAACTTTTTAGGGTCCCAAAATATTGTTGTAAGTGCATAGATTTTGAAATATAAAATTTAGAATTATCAAACGACCTCGGATGTTGACATGGTCTATACAAAAGTTATAGTTCTCAATAAAATCTATAACTTTGTAGTTGAAAAGTTTTTAATTCGAAGATGTTTAGAGTCCCAAATATGTGTTCGAAGGTTATAGATTTTAAAATTTAAAATTTAGAATTCTTGAACGATCTCAAATGTTCACATAGTTAATAACAAAGTTCCAGTGGCCGACCTGATTTACATGTTTGATATTGACAAGTTTCTGATTTAAAGTCATCTAGAGTGTCAAATATGTGTTTGAAATTCAAATATTTTGAGACTCAATTTTTTGAATTTTTCAAACTATCTCTGATGGAGATACATCATATACCAAAGTTATAGTACTTGACAAGATTTAAAACTTTGTAGTTAAAAGTTTTTTTCATTTGAGTTCATTTAGTAGCCAAAATATGCAATATAAGATTACGAAATATATTGATATAAAAAGAGAGCATATTATATGTAGACATGAATGAGTGTGTGGTGCAGTGGTTGAGATGCGGTAGTGTTGAGTGGTAGGTCTTGGGTTCGTCTCTCCAAGTTTTTTGTTTTTTCGAGTTTTGTGGAGAACATTAACGGAGCCAATAACCGAGGCGGGCTAACCAACCGCCTTCATAGGTGTGGATTAACCATGATCTTTGGATGGAGTCGGATGGTTTGCCCGCCTCCATTAATCCAAAACGCTCGCCACGGTTAAGTTTTATGTAGTAGTGGTCGTTGTCTCATTGACAAGAACGACTTCCTCAAGGAGCGGCCATGAGTCGGAGGTGAGTCTTATAGAGGAACAACAATATTTGTATTTCTATCTCTTTTAACTGGCTGATGAGACAAGGTGGGGAGAAAATTATCTGTTGTCTGAAAAGGACAACAACTATTGTATGCTAGGTAACATAAACGTGATCGAACTGGAGGTAGCATGCATAAAGGTTGTACTTAATGCTTATGCTAGTTTCTTCCTGATCTAGCTATATCATGTTATGTTTTGCTCTCTAGCGCCGCCGGTCTCTTAGGGTTTGTTAGTTGGAGATAAGATTAGAAGTCTTTTACTTAGGGACAAAGTCTGTCTCTCTATATAAAGAGAGGAGATGTACCATAAAAGGCAACCAATGAAGAAGAGTTAATGCCAAGTCGTCTAGCATCCCACCCCCCAGCCGACTCCGTCGGCTATTTTCCTGGTGGTGTTTACCCTAATGACCCAAGGATCGTAACATTATTCATGTGCCTTCGATGGGTACATGAAATCAACCACCATATCATTCTATGTTTTTAGAAGTAAAAGAATGTTTAGTTTGCATTTGTTCCAAAACAACACATGATCAGTAATAGCATCAGAAATCAATACAGGGAGCACATGCGAATTCATATATTGGTTAAATTTATAGTTTTAGTTGACCTTGTTTAGGTTTAGGATATGTGAAAATTTTCTTCTTAGGAGCATCCTGAATAATAATGCAGATGGTAGCTGCAAAAAATGTTCTTTGATTGAGCTCTGCACCTTTCTTTATTTCTTGCCCACATGGTGCCATTTGGTTCTAAGTTCATGCTTCTTTTTTCTATATTGGTTCAACATGCCATTGGGCCATTTCAATATTATTTTCCAAAGGGAATTTATCAGTTTCTTTAAAGGTTCTGAAATAGATAACCGTGGTAATGTTTATTCGAATTTACAGTACTGAAGATCAGATGCTGCTGTAGAAGCTTTGTCCAGTATCTCAAACTTTGAAAGTGATAGATACTTTATCTATAATGTAGATCTAACCTTGTCAATTAGAAATATTTTTTGGTTAGAATTAACCAGAAATATCTATCTTTGCTCGAGTGGCAAACGCTGCAGGTGGTGCAGCGGCCGGTCGTGGGTTCGAGCTCTGCTCGACTCACGATCCCCACCGGGGTTTTTCCCCATTTTTAACAGGTGCAGCCTCTCTCGCATGGAGCCACAAAGAGATAGCGGCGCGTCCGTCACCTACGGAGCCTTGGATGGTTTCGGTGATCTCCTCAAAACGTGATTTTGGAATCTAGGTGTAGTTGTAGGGTCTGTTTGTGTACATGTGGTGTGAGTGAGGTGTGTGTGAGTGTGTGTGGTGTTGGTGTGTCTGTTCATGAACAGATACTACAGTTGTACCTAGATAAGAGAGGCCAAAAAAAAAAGTTTGTTATGCTTAGTTGCTATGTCTCAACTCTCAACAATATGGTTATGGCATTAACATTTCCTTGAAGAAAATGTGTTTTTTTTTTCATCTATATTCCGTAGGACTTGACTTTTGGTTTACTGGGTAATAACTTTCTTCGTTTGTTATAATGCCGCAGGCTGACCTACCGCGACACGCCGACACCGTTCTCTCGTGTGATACATCAATCACATGGCGAGGCACAGTTCGAGGAGCAGGAGTACCTCGATGAGCGTGGACAGAGTGAAAGATTTGGTGAATCGTGGTCTGTCAAACTCCGACATGACCAGCGCCTACGTGTTGATTTATATAGGGCTGAAAACGCCTCAACAAAGGTACAGATATGTTACAACTCGGATTACAAAAGATTCGGTTGTCAACAACTACTGGGACTCTATCTAGATATTTCCATGTAACAACCGTAACTTGCTCCAAGTAGTAAACGACTTACAATCCTGATACATCAGGAACTATACTTCTAACAGAGGACAGGACCGCTCCACTCGTGGTTAAGCCTTGAGAGCTTCCAAATTCCATTACACGGCCGTGGGTGATATAAAAAACGGGCCGACTAGCGGCCGAACGTCCGGCCCGAGACCAACGTCCGGACGCCTGCGCTGCAGTTTCCTGTGCTCGCACAAGCAATCCACGCCCGCGCTCTCGCAAAAAAAAAAACGTACGGCCATGCCTGCACCTGGGCCGTCTGTCCGGACGCACCAACCCGCTCGCCTACAACGCAAAAAAAAAAGAAACCATTGACGCGCACTCCGCTCCATACCCGTGATCGTCAAAGGTGACACCGCCGCCCCGCCGGTCAACGCAGCTGGCTCCGCACCGTCCGCGTCTCTGCCGCAGCCTCCCCTTCCCCTCTCTCTCTCTCCCCCGACACGGCGCAAAGCGCGACCACCTCCTCACACTGCGCATGGCTGGCCCACGCGTGCCCCAGCCGTGCGGCGTAGCCCCCCGGCAGGGTGGCCGGTCGCTAGTGGGCGCCGCGCACCTCCGCCCTACTCCTCGCTGTTCCTTCCACCAGATCCACTGCGCGGCGAGAGATCCGATGGTGGTGGGGACTGCGGCACCGGCTGCGGGGGCTACATGTCGAACCCATGACACCAGTAGCAACGAAGGGGTCCCCGTTAGCCTCGTAGTAGGCGGAGTCCATCTGGTAAATGTTGGCGCTGGTCGATGGTGGCGATGGCGCGGCTGCCTCCGGTGAACACACGCCGGCGAGACTCCATTTCGCAAGCAGCAAGGAGATATTGCGATGTGCTGAAAACGCATGTTGCAAGCGTATGTTTTAGAGGTATGTTGCAGTTGTTTTAGATGAATATTGCAAAAGTGGATTAGAATATTGCATATGTTGCAATTGTTGTACACGTATGTTGCAAATGTTTGTTCCTAATGTTTAGTCTGTGTTTTTGGACGTATTGTTACAAGTGTGTTTACCTAAATGTTGCATACGTTTCACACATGCTGCAAATGTTTTATCTGGATATTACTATGTTTGCAATGATTTTTAAGTGTTTTCATGTGTTTTTCAAGTGTTTCAGAAGCATGTTTCAAGTATTTTATTTGTCTTCAGACGCATGTTGCAAGTGTTGCATCTGGATGTTTCAAAAGTAGATCGGGTATTGCACATGTTGCAATACACATGAGAAGCGGAGGGGACGAGCAGCCCCCGCGCGCGGGTGGCGTCCGGACGGCATGGGCCCCGCATGGGCACGTGAAACCCAGGCACAAGCGGGGGGCGTGCTGTTTTTTTTTTTGTGCAAGCACGAGCGTGGATTGCTGATGCGAGCACTGGCGTCCGGACGTGGGCCTCGGGCCGGTCGTTCGGGCGCTAGTCGTCCCGCTTGGGATATCCTCCAACAGGGTATCTACCATGCCTTAGTATATCCCCCAACAGGGTAGCTATGCCTATGACCTGAAGGTGAGAGTGAAGAAAAACTTGGGATATCCTCCAACAGGTTTTTTTTTAGAATTACGTAGTACAACATAGACACCCATAACACGCACGCACACTCACCCCTATAAACACACGTGCACAAACCCTACATCTCTATAAACACCTCCGAAGGACTGAGCCGGCAGATTCCTCCAACGGGGTATCTACCATGCCTCAGTGTATCCCAACAGGGTAGCTATGCCTGACCTTGAAGGTGAGAGTGAAGAAAAACGCTACTACGCTAGTGAGGAGCGAAGCGCTTCGCTAACACACTGCCTGATACTTTTGCTGTCTTGCATGTGATTTCTTCTGTTTCTTCTTCACAGCTTTGCTTGCTTTATTATTTATTTGCTTCACTGCCAACTCCGCTAGCCATGGCTAAAAGTACCGTTGCTGGTTTTGTGAGAGAAAAATATTGTTCATTGACTGATAAGCCATAGCTTATAAGTCAAATACGACCATCACTGTTGATAGCCAAGAATGCATTAATAAAGCTCATGTTCCCAGAAAACGTATTACCAGCTCTCCATATGATGTCCACATAATCTTTATCGCCAATTTCAGCTCTTGGGAAAAACAAGTCCCAACATATTCCAAACTCAGGAGGACCAAACTATTTATATATAGTCCATCCATAAACAGATGGTACACAGGTGGTGCAAAAATGGTGTGTACTCTGCTACGCACAAACAACCGGTACAAGGAGCCTCTCCAGCCGCAATCAGTAATCATCGCCTCTGGAAATGACCTCTTTGCAGGTTGGCCGGAGTAGGATGGTGTGCTCAAACTGAGAGACGTAGCTCCCTCTCACATCACACAGGGGAGGATACGGCTGCCAAGAGGGTGCAAGAAGGTGAATATACATGTCAGCAAACAAGATTAGGTTTGGACAATGGAGCAGAGATGGAGCAATACACCTACCTGAACGATGCCATTATCACATAGATTTTTCAGAGCCATGAGATACTTGGTCTCACCAAGGCGGTCCAAGTACCGGCGGCAAAAGGCAAGCGTTCCAAAGTTGTTGTTGATGACCCCAAGTAGTTGCTTGGCCTTTGCTAACCGCAATGGCACATGTCCAACATCAAAGTTCTTCATGTAATGACTGCATTCCAAGTCCTCCCTGACAAATCCCTTTCCTGCAAACATCATGAAACTCATCAAGTGTGCACTGTGCAAGTCTTCAAGGACTTAAACATGTCCAAGTAGGGACAAGAAATTTATGTTGTGCAGCCAAGGGTCATTCTATTATGTAACTGAAGTGTCTTTTTTTGTGTGCAAAACAATTATGGCATAATATAGTACTCCTAGATTTCTATCTCTGAGTTCAAGCTACATAAGTAACATACCCGTAGATCCAAAAGTTTCGATGGCATAAAACTCCCCTTCCTCCATTTTTGTTTGTTCTCCACCTTTCACTATTGGAACTGATTTCCCAGCATGGATTTGATATGGCCCAATGCTATGTCCATTGAGGTTCCGAACACTTTTAACTGTCACACAAGCAACAGAGTAGTTTGAGTTATCATTCATTTTTCACTGTACATTATTATTGCACAGCGGAAATCAGAAGCTGCATACGACTACTTTACATTACCTTGGAAAACTTTCCCATTGATTTCAACCTCATATGACTCCATAACTTCTTGGATTGCAGCACCAACATCACCAAGCCGTGCATCTATTCCAGCTTCCTGAAATGTAGCAGTAATCAAATTATTTGGATGTTCAATGTGTGCATGCTAAACCAGAGAAATAATTTCAGGCAACCACGACCATTAAAAGAAGAAATTAAATTAGGCAGACAAATTATACAGTAGCGGCTACAAAGGTGCCAATCCATACAATATTTGTCTAGTGGAAATCAGTATTCTAATGAACACATGAATATGATGCATTGAACAAAACATCTCAGTTCAGTACAATCAAATAGAGCACTACATGAAAAGGCAGCCTACAAAGTGCAGAGAAAAATGTCGAAATTACCTTGATCCCTGTATTTGTGGCATCTCTCGTTGCTTGAAGCAATGGATCGAACATAGGATTGAATGCAACAGTAAATGCACAATCAATAATGTACCCTAGAACAAATATCAAGTTAGTGTTTGCAATTAAAAAAGTATTGACTAATTGACGAGAAATCCACACTAGTCACATCAACAAACCAAAGACAATAAAATAAAACATAAATATGACAGACCATCTATATGTGTTCCAAAATCCAGCTTCATCACATCATCGTATTGTAGCACAGTTTTGTCACCCGCATTTGGAGTCCAGTGAGCTGCAACCCTAAGAATTGCATTTTTTTCTTCCATCAATTCTTGAACCAAATGAAAACTTGGAAACAAATTTAAGGATACCATATTAACGGAAACACTATAAAAGAATGCCATACCAATTCAAGGAGCATCCAGTTGGAAAGGCAATGCCAGCTTGCAGTCCATTCTCCTTGATAAGTTTCCGGACCATGTTTTCCAACGTCTCACATAGATCAATCATTAACATTCCAGGCTTTATGATGCTCCTCATATATTTCCGTACCTGGCAAATAAGAACATACATACGTTGTAGAATTGCAACCAACATAATAGAAGTTATGCTGCACATAAATTACAGAGGGATGTATTTTAGACCTGTCTATGAACTTCTGCTGCTCGGTGAACAGAGTTGTACATTGGCTTTTGCAGTCGTTCCAGCTCCCTCTTTTCCTCACTAGTCGTTCTCCACAAATTACTGGATACCAATAGTGCATAGATTCGTAAGAGTTACTGGTAGTTCATTGTATTAGTTCATAACTTCTGATGCTTAACAAGATGGAGAAAATCCTTTCACCCCCAATACATAGGATAATTTAATTCAATAGAACTTCAGCTACTGGTAATAGACTTTGTACTTAACTCATCCTTATATTGTTGGATTTCACCCTCAGGAAATTCTCCTGAAGGGAAAAGCTCATCGACAGGTATTGATGGAGGATCTGTCTGTTGAAGGGGGTCCTTCTTCTTTCTACAGAAGAGATGAATCATCCTCGCAAAATGAAACAGGCCAAACAATAAAAGCATGGTTCAACTCAAAAGCAGAACTCACTTGGATTTGTTTTTCTTCCTTTTCTTCTTTACAGCTTCTGAAAAATATCCATTTCAAAAGACAGATGTTAGACTAACCCCACAACCAATGCTAGATATTATAGAATAACCTTCAACTTTATAGGAAAAATTTGGCAAGGTATAGTTGTCACCTGGTGCTCCATCTTTAGATGGACCGTCAGCAATGCTTCATCGTCATCATCCTCTGGTGGTGAGGACTGAGCTGCAAGAACAGAATGATTGTTGTTTGCAGCTTTGTCTTCTCTAATAAGATTCTCCTGAAAAAAGAAAAATGGATGCTAATTGGTATGAGAGAAAAAAATACAGCAGACCAAGGGTCAAGCATGAGAAATGTGCCATATAAGAGTCCACGATCCATGTAATGTAACAATAAAAGTTGTTATCACTTGTTCAAGTGTTCTAATCATTGCACTTTCAAACTGAAATCTGGAAAAGCTACCCACGTCATCTAGTCAAAAGTTAAGCCACCATTATTAGGACAATTTTGTCCATTACTTACAAGTGACTTCAGACAAAGCATAATTGAAATATGGAACAAATGAAGAGGCTAATATTGCATTAAACATGTGAGTATGCAAGTCAATGACCCAGTTATCATGACTAGACCACCTCCGCAAACGAAATACTCCTACGATTCTCAAATAGATACTTATGCTCAACTTTGTGCACAACAATACTATTGATTCATTCCATGGGCCATGGAAAACAACGGAACTGCTGCAGCTACTTACTTTTGTTTCATCATTTTGTCCAACATGCAGTGCCTCCATCTCCTTGGTTGTTGCATCAACCGCAGCCATTTTGTATATTTCTAGAGCAGGTTCAAACCTGAATAAGCAGGATAAACAAAACCGTAAGACCCAATATGTGTAAGGATAAACTGCATTTCAAATAAATGTATCTCCATTATAAAGCAAATGTGTATTAATGTATTATCTCAGCTATTCACAAGTGTCTAACAGAAACTTGACAAATTCATAAATGATAAAGCCATTGATAACAAATAATATCATATCTGGATTACCAGTATTTGCTCATTAAACTCAGTAAGTGAAATACATCATCTAGAGTCGGGTCAAGAATCAGGGGCGGATCCAGTAAAGGGACATGGGTGTAGACATGTACACCCAATATTTTTTGCAAAAACTTCGAAGTTAGGAGGTTTGTCAAATAGCTAAATAGCTTTAGGTTAGGGTTTCGGTGCTCAGCTTCGCACAGCATAAGGGAAGGGAAGAGAAGGGGTGGGAGTACCTGGTGGGTGCTCGTCGCCGGCGAAGAGACTAACGAAAGCCTCAGCACCTGGCTTAGGGCGGCGGCGGCCCAACAGTCGTCTGAGAGCGAGAGGGGAGCGAGCGAGAGAGAGAACGAGGAGGGAAGAGAGCCAGAGAGAGAGAGAGAGAGAGAGAGAGGACTCGAGGAGGGAGGAGGGATGCAGCGGAAGGGGTCGACGGCGGAAAAAAAAACGCACGGGCTTCTTGCGGGCCGTTTTTTCTGTTTCTTTGAAAATTTCTGTTTTTTTTTATTTTTCTTTCTCTCCCTTTTAATTAATTTTTTATTCTTGTTGATTTCATATTTATTCTCTTAATTGGACATTATCAATGGGTACAACATGTGTTTTAAATAACAGAAATTTCATATCTATTCTCTTCATTGGACACTATCAGTGCCTACTAAATATATAGTACATTGTAAATAAGTAAATGGAACTTTTTATATTTTATTAAGGTTGAATATTTTTCTATTGAAGCTAGAAGCCATTTTCAAAAGAACATAACCAATTTCACAAACCAATAAGCTATAACAACATTTTTCTAAAATAAAAACAATTTCCTCTTTGTGACAATTTCCCAAGTGAATATTAAATATTTTTGTGCTAAACATGCAACAATAGTTCCCATGAACTAGGAACATTGCTATCATCAATAAAAAAATGGTATGAACTCATTAAAAAAATTTCCATGCTCCAACAAGAACTAATAAAGAGTATTGACACTTCAATATCTCGTGAAAAAATTGAGTCTTCCTAGCACTCTCTTTTCATTCTATAACTTACTAAGGATTTTTATGTTGTAACAAGGTTAAAGATTAGGTTGCAAAATACTTTTGTGTGTTAGAATAGTCACACTTTATCAACCTTAAACAAATCTAGCTAAGCGAGTGTTTATTATCCGCAAGGCACAAAGACAGTAGAGGCACATAGTGGCGTTAAGTCCATAGAAAAACTCTAACAAAAAACAAAGGTATACAAGTTCAAAAGACAGATATCGTTATGAGGCAAGAATAAAAGAAGGCTTGACATGACATGATAGGAATAGAAATAGTTTGATCTTAAAAACAATTATTCATCGGAAAAGTATTATACAAATGCAACAATGCGTAATTAAATAAATCAGGAATGTTTCCGCTCTTAGATGACACTAATTGTCCTTTTATGGAACAAATGGTTTTTTCTCTACAGGTAGAACATTTTTTACTTATCCCTTTATAGTAAAATTGTCGGGGTCATAACCTCGGGGTGTGTCAAGGCATCGATTAGTCGGCAGGCCATACGACCCGCAAATACATCAGCTAGCGAAGGCCCGAACGACCGAGACCTAGCTGGGCCGAGCAAACCAGGCCGGACGCTAAGACCAGGGTCGACCACGACCTCTTCCTCCAGCCTTAGCCGCACGGCACTCGAGAGGCGCACGACCTCACCCCCGTCACGACCCCTGGAAGGGACGGGGAGAGGTTGAGCCCCACCAAGTATGCCTGTTCTAACAAGGACAGGTACGCCACACTAACCTCTCAAGGGCTGAGGGGACAACAGTCATCTCAGTCCGGTCAGACATCAACCCTGCACCACGTAGCTCGGACAAGACAATGCCGCCCTAGGGCGGTGACGACGGGCACGATGACCACCGGCCAGATATGGCCCGACAAGATGCATGTACAACCACACCCACTATGGGATGGGATCCACGACGAAGGTATTGACTTGAAGGCCATCCAGACCAGCGGGAACCATGACCCCAACGATCGGGATCGTGGCCCTCAGCTCCCCAAGACAACCAGGCGATCGACGACCTGGGGGCGGCTACCAATTCCCGTACGACACCCTAAAAAACTAGGAGACGATAACGAAGACCACGATAGAGACCACGTCGCACAGGACGGCTGACGCACCATCACCGTGCCTACAGTGCCACCATGATCGGCGCAGAAGCACCATGCCACACCATGCCGCGACGTGGCCACAAGATGATGACGATAGCCACGCCCAGGCGTACTCCACAAGACAGCGTAGCTTGTAAGCCAAGTTAGCTAGGCCCTCCTTTAGGCTCACGACCCTTAAGTCGGGAGAATCTCCTCCTTTGTATGCACCCTGGCCCCGAACTCTATATAAGGACAGCCAGGGCACCATTTCCAGATATTCTGAGACCCCTGCTCATTCACTCACTCTCCATCGTAGCAGGGCTCCTGAAGCTTCTCTTCGGGCTGCCCGTCTCCTAGCTCTAGCTCTTCTTCCTCTTCCACCATTCTTGCACCCCTCTTATAAGAACTTTAGAGTATTCAAGCGAGGAACACAGACTCGATCATCTCTGAGACTAGACATAGGGCTCCGGTCTGAACTAGTATAACTCCTCGTGTCTTTTGGATGCTACCATCATATTCCTAAGCAGCGCGTCAATCGTATAAATTCACTAGTCTGATTTATGAAACACCGACAAAAATATTTTTTTGGGTTAGAAACAACTTCAAGAGTAGAAAAAACACTATTTTATTAAGTGGAAAGAAATATTCTCATAGTAGAAAAAATGTTAGGGGTGTGACCCATTTGTCTTTCTTGTATCTTATGAAATAAGAAACTTCTACGTGAGAAACTTTCCAGATAAACGGTGAGTATGCATAAAACATAATTATCGTACTTTATACAATAGAATACTATATATCTGGATATTTTGCATGAAAAATATCTTGGTAATAGATAAACACAAACAAGATTCTACATGGAATACTCTAGATCTAGTTATTTTATGTAATCAGAAATTTCATTGTGAGCTCGTGACTCTCTGGCGGCTCGGTTTGGTAGCAGGACAAGCCCCGCCAGGTCCTGCCTCGCTGCTGCAAGGTTGATGCACAACCGCAGCAGCCAGTCGCCATCGGCCACCGCGCCGAAGACTAGAGACTGGCGTTCTCTAAACGCCACCACATGCTCAACCGGTAGCCGCTAGGGTTCCCATTTGGGGAACAGGAGTCCAGAGTCAGGGGTTCGACTATAGAGTATTCGATCAAAGCGACGTGAATTGTTCCTGATGGTGATGCTTGGAATCTAGATGGAGGTCAGTTGGGCTGTTGGGCCTTGTTGGGCAATTGGGTAGAAAGGAAAATAAATAGAAAGATATGTATTTTGGGACAAATTCGTTACTAGGACTTCTAAAAGCTCTAGTTTGATTTTGGTGAATTGATGAAACCTGAAAGGACCGAGGATGCCGCCTAGAGGGGGTGAATATGTGTTTCTAAAAATTCAACCCTTCAAAATGCAGAAATGATTAGTGTTGGAGTTTACAAGAGATTGGAAACTCCTAATCAGAGAAATAAATCCCTCACGAGTTAGCCACTAAGTAAATAACAAGTGATAAATAAAACTAGGAACCACAAGCCTGCAACACAAGGATTAGAACTGAGAAGGAATAAAAACAGCACAAGCCCCAAATACCGAACACACACGTCCAATATTCATGGGTTTGCTAGATCAGCTCCTGATTTGCTCCGATTGACTTCTCTTTTCAAACCAAGTTGCTGTCACCTCTTAGTAACCTGTCAACACGCTCAAGCAACAGAAGTAGATCACAAATACCAACTAAAAAGAGAGATCGAGACACAAGAATTATTTTACCAAAGTTCGGCCTCCGTCAAAACCTACTCTCCGTTGAGGGGGCTATGAGCGACCCAACAAAGGTCGGCTCAATAATGATCAGGATTCTCCTTTGATAATAAGTGATAAACTCTCTCAGGAAGAATCCCTATACTTAATAATTATCTTAGAAAAGCATCATTCTGCCTTTGGCTACTCGCTCGAAGATCTTAAGGGAATTAGCTCTGCTCTTTGCACTCATCACATCCCTACAGATCCTAACTCTATACCTTCTAGGGAGCCCTAGCATAGGCTTAATAATGCAATGAGAGAGGTTGTTAAGAAAGAGGTCTTCAAACTCTTGCACGTCGGGATTATCTATCCTGTGCTGCATAGTGAGTGGGTTAGCCCTATCTAAGTTGTGACTAAAAAGGAGGCATGACTATTGTTAAAAATGAAAACAATGAATTAATCCCTAAAGAACCGTCACTGGATGACGGATGTGCATTGATTACCGAAAACTTAACAAGGCAACCAAGAAAGATCACTTTCCGTTGCCCTTCGTTGATAAAATGTTGGAGCGACTGGTGACTCTTTCTTCTATTTCCTTGATGGGTATTTAGGTTATCATCAGATATCGATCCATTCAGATGACCAAAGCAAAACCACCTTTACATGTCCATATAGAACTTATGCTTACCGTAGAATCTCTTTTGGGCTATGTAATGCTCTAGCTTCTTTTCAAAGATGCATGATGTCTATATTTTCTGATATGATTGAAGAAATTATGAAAGTTTTCATGGATGACTTTCCTGTTTATGGAAAAACTTTTGATGATTGTCTTGAAAATTTAGACAAGGTTTTGCAAAGATGTGAAGAAAAGCATTTAGTCCTTAATTGAGAAAAATGTCATTTCATGGTTAGAGAAGGAATAGTGCTTGGACACTTGGTGTCTGAAAGAGG